TTTGGAAGAAGTGCAGCCAGAGTGCTTCTTGGAGGCCAGGATGGCTAAGCTTCGTCTCTCCTACTTTGGACATATTGTCCTGAGGAAACAGTCGCTGGAGAAGGATGTCATGCTGAGTAAGGTGGAGGGTCAGAGAAAAAGAGGAAGACCCCTCATGAGACGGATTGGCCAGGTGGCATTATTGATGGACTCAAGTGTGGCAGCGGTAGTGAGGTTGGCCCAGGATCGGACATTGTTTCATTCTGCTGTGCATGGAGTCACTATGAGTCGGTTCCGACTCGGTGGCACCTGACAATAACAATAGTCGATTCCAACTCATAGTGACCCTGTATAGGGTTTTCAAGGAGTGGCTGGTGAGTTTGAAGAACTGACCTTTCAGTTCAAACTGACTTACCAGTCAAGTGCTTATCCTGTAGGATATGCCACACATGTATGTGTAATTGGGGTGTGTGCTGGCTCTGTGTGTTCAGCACTGGACTGGGAACTACAACGTCTGCTGTTCCGTGGGAGAAAGATGAGGCTTTCTGTTCCTGCCAAGATGCACAGCCTCAGAAACCCTATATTATGAGTTGGAATTAACTCGAAGGTACTCAACAACAACAACAATACATGTATAGTAATATATATGAGTTTTAGCTGTATAATTTAAACATTTATGAATAAAGAACATAGAAACCTAGGTTAATTTCAAATAAAAACAGACTTATTTTGGAGTTAAATAAATGAATGGGATTTTGAATTAATACACTTTCTACCTGGTATGGCTACTTTGACTTATGAGCATCAGAAGGAAATCAGTTCTCTCATCTAACAGTTACCTTGGGAAATTGACATCTGTTTTCATTACTAAGTTATATTGGTACACAGGGCACAAAAGAAAATGGTATTTTACTAGAATTATCACAATTATCTAGACATAATATGAGAGGGTGTGGGTGGCTTACCTTAAAAGAGATTTCATACTGTTCTCCGCCCCAGATTTCTAAACCTGGATCATAGCCACCTAATTCCCAAAACCATTTTCGATCCACAGCAAAGAGACCTCCGGCCATAACAGGGGACCTGTGAAATGAATAAAATCATATTAGACGGACTAGGAATTTTACTTGAAAATATAAATAAAACAACTTCAAGATATGCTTTAGTGGTCAGTTGCATCAAGCTTTTCAGCACTGGTTTTCTTTTCAGAGGATATGGGGTTCTCATGGGGTTTCTAACTGAAGTGAGTACTGAGTATGGAAGGGATTCTTGTAATCACTAAACTTTGCAATTCAGGTTTTAATGCAACTAGTGTCCTGAAACACCACTTGCCTATCAGTTTGTCATACAGTGGTGGCTTGTGAGTTGCTGTGATTCTGGAAGCTATGCCACTGGTATCTTCAAAATGAAGAAAAACAGCTGTAAACATCCATTAATAATCAGAACATGAAATGTAAAATGTATGAATCTAGGAAAATTAGAAATTGTCAAAAATGAAATGGAATGCATAAACATTGATATCTTAGGCATTAATGAGCTGAAATAGACAGGTATTGGCCATTTTGAATCTGACAACCACATGGTTTACTATGTCAGGAATGACAAATTGAGGAGGATTGGTGTTACATTCATTGCTAAAAAGAACATATCCAGATCAGTCATGAAGTACATGACTGTGATAGGATAACATCCTATCACAGCTGTCTGTGATAGGACAATATCCATGTGCCTACAGGGAAGACTAGTTAATGCCAGTTTTATTCAAATTTATGCACCAACCACTAAAGCCAAAACGGATAAAATAGAAAAATTCTACCAAATTCTTCAACCTGAAATTGATCCAACATGCAATCAAGATGTACTGGTGATTGGGATGCAAAGGTTGGGAGCAAAGAGGAAGGATCAATACTTGGAATATATTGCCTTGGAGATAGAAATGACTCTGGAGATCACATGATAGAATTCTGCAAAATCAGTGATTTGTTCATTTCAAATACCTTCTTTAGACAGCCTAAGAGACGACTTTACACATGGACCTTGCCATATGGAATACACAGAAATCAAATTGACTACATCTGCGGAAAGAGACGATGGAAAAGCTCCACATCATCAGTCAAAACAAGGCCAGGGGCAGATTGTGGAACAGACCATCAATTACTCATATGCAAATTCAAAATGAAGCTGAAGAAAAAGAAAACCAGTACATGAGAACCAAAACATGGCCTTGAATATATCCCACCTGAATTTAGAGATCATCTGAAGAACAGATTTGATACATTAAACACTAAAGACCGAACACTGGGAGAGTTGTGGAATGACATCAAGAACATCAGGAAGGAAACAAAAGTCATTATGAAGACAAGAAAGAAGGAAAAGATCAAAATGGATGTCAGAAGAGACACTGAAACTTGCTTTCCAGTGTAGAGATGCTAAAGCAAATGGAATAAATGAGGAGGTCCAAGAGATGAACAGAAAATTTCAAGGGTCAGCTCGATAAGATAAAGACAAATATTATAACAAAACGTAAAAAGATCTGGTATCAGAAAACGAAAAAAGGAAGAACACTCTCAGCATTTCTCATGCTGGAAGAACTGAAGAAGAAATTCAAACCTCAACATCTGTTATTGAAGGATTTGCTGGACAAATTAATGAAGGGTGCAGAATGCATCAAGAGAAGATGGAAGGAATACAAAGACTCATTGTACCAAAAGGAAATGGTTGATGTTTAACCATTTCAAAAGGGAGCATATGATCAAGAGCCAGTGATGCTGAAGGAGGAAGTCCAGGTTGCATTGAAGGAATTGGCAAAGAACAAAGCACCAGGAATTGATGGAATAAAAATTGAAATCTTTCAGGAAAGTGAGGCAGCACAGGAGGCACTCACTCATCTCTGCCAAGAAATTTGGAAGACAACTATCTGGCAGACTAATTGAAAGAGATCAATATTTATGCCCATTCCAAAGAGAGGTGACCCAACAGAATGCGGAAATCATCAGACAATCTCTTTGATATCCCATGCAAGTAAAGTTTTGCTAAAAGTAATTCAGAAATGGCTATAAGCATACATTGACAGAGAACTTCCAGAGGTTCAAGCCGGATTCAGAAGAGGCTGTGGAATGAGGGATATCATTGCTGATGGCCAATGGATCTTGGCTGAAAGCAGAAAATATCAGAAAGATGTTTACCTGTGCTTTATTGACTATGCAAAGGCTTTTGATTGTGTGGATAGTGACAAGCTATGGACAACATTGTGAAGCATGAGTATTCCGGAACACTTAATTTTGCTCATGAGGAATCTGTATCTGGACCAAGAAGCAGTTGTTCAAACAGAACATGAGAACACCGAATGGTTTAAAATTATGAAAGGTGTGTGACAGGGTTGTATTTTTTCACCATACTTATTCAACCTGTATGCTGAACAAATAATCTGAGAAGCTGGGTTATATGAAGAAAAACGTGGCATCAGGATTGGAGGAAGACTCATTAACAACCTGCAATATGCAGATGATACAACCTTGCTTACTGAAAGTGAAAAGGATTTATAATATTTACTGATGAATATCAAAGAACATAGCCTTTAGTATCGATTGTATCTCAATGTAAAGAAAACAAAAATCCTCACCACTGGAACAATAAACAACAATCTTATCAACAGAGAAAAGATTGAAGTTGTCAAGGACTTCATTCTTCTTTAATCAACTATCAACACTCATGGAAGAAGCGGTTAAGAAATCAAATGAAGTATTGCATTAGGCAAATCTGCTGCACATGAGCTTTTTAAAGTGTTGCAGAGAAAAGGTGTCAGTTTGAGGACTAAGGTGCGCCTGACCCAAGCCATAATGTTTTCAATAACCTCATATGCATATGAAAGCTGGACAGTGAAAAAGGAAGACCGTAGAACAATTGATGCCTTTGAGTTATGGTGTTGGAGGAGAATATTGAAAGTGCTGTGGGCTGCCAAAAGAACTAATATATCTGTGTTAGAAGAAGTGCAGCCAGAATGCTCCTTGTAGGCCAAGATGGCCAAACTTCGTGTCTCATACTTCGGACATATTGTCAGGAGGGACCAGTCACTGGAAAAGGATATCATGTTGGTGGAGGGTCAGAGAAAAAGAGGAAGACCCCCAGCGAGACGGATTGGCAAAGTGGCTGCATCGATGGGCTCAAGCGTGGCAACGATAGTGATGTTGGACCAGGATTGGGCAGTGTTTCGTTCTGCTGTACATAAAGTTGCTATGAGGCAGTACCGACTAAATGGCACCTAACAACAACAACACCAATAAGTTCCCTGTGGAGTCCCATTTGCTCCATTGTTCTGTCATTAGAGAGAAATATTTGAGATTAGTGACTGATATAATGTGTGGCGCTGTGGATTAATGCATCAGGCTGCAAAGTCCTTTGAATCGCAAGGTAGGCTGTTCAAGTTCATCAGTCGCTCCTTGGAAACCCTATACAGGGTCGTTATGGGTCGGATTCAACTCGACGGGACTTAACAACAACAACAATATTGTAAAGTATCACTAAATTTTATGTTTTTCCTCAAGCTAAAACAGATCTTAATACAATCAGACACATAAAAGTATAGAAAATGCTGTTGTAGAAAGTGTCCTTGATTTAATCTCTCATTAAGTGTTTCCGAAGCATGATTAGTCACAGACTGTCTCCGTTTTACAGATTATGAAATGGACTGTAGAATATTAAATAACCAACCAAAACTTGATTATTTAATTAACATGCCAAAGTTCGAATTTAAATTAAATCTTTTCGCTCTAATGATATATATATTTTAGAACATTTTTGACTTTTTCAGAAATATTCCTTTTGCTTAGGTAATAATTTTAAAGTATTACACCCTTGTTAGATATTGTAACCATGTTGCTATGTACTGGTGGTGATGGTTGTGTGCCATGGAGGTGGTTGCGACTCATAGCAACCCTATGTAGGATTTCTAAGGTTATAAATTTTATGGGAGCAGAAAGCCTCATCTTTTTCCCTTGGTAGATTTGAACCACTGACCCTCTGGTTAGCAGCCCAGCTCGTAATCCATTATGCTATCAGGGCCCTGCCCTAACATTTTTGTAGGTTAAAAGTTGTGCTTATTTTTGAGTACTCACTAATTTCTGGGATCTCGGACAAGAAACTTATTTAACTTCCTCATAATTAAATAAAACAAATAATCCTTTGACTATTATTCCTTTATAGCGTTTGAGATCTTGGTGACACTATTTCATCTTTAGGATTTTTATTTTGGTCATTAAATTTTAAAAAATATCTTATATACCTCTACTTGGATTTTTAAACATAGAATAAAGTTATTACTACACTCTAGTATCCTTAACTTCAAATTCTTAAGTTCAAATTCTTCGTTTCAGTTGATTAAATTACCTAGTCATTATGAGAAGTCCTGGTGTGGTGCTGTAAGATAAGCACTCTACTTCCAGTCTGTTTGAACCAGTGGTTCAAATTCACCAGCTGCTCCTCAGAAACCCTATACAGGATCTCTATGAGTTGGAACCAACTCCACAGCACTTAACAGCAACAATCACTCATTATGAGCTGTATATCCCTACTTTTTTGTGTAATTTTTCAATGGATTCCAGACCATTTACATGTTGGTGCTAGATATTTTTGCATTCATTTAAATGTTCTTGAGGTTTATTTTGGGATGCAGTGATGCTATTTGGAAATGGCTTGATCTTTTCTCATCTTGCTCGTGCTTTTTCACATCTTGCTATTTGTTAGGCAGAACTGGAGAAACCACACAGTCTAGGGAATGTTATTCACTACACTTGTTGTCGTGAAGTGCCATTGAGTCAGTTCTGACCCATAGTTACCCTGTATAGGGTTTCCGAGGAGCATCTGGTGAGCTTGAACCACTGAGCTTGCAGTGCAAACAGCTTTGCAGTCTGGTACATTAACCCACAGTGTCACACCAGTTAAGGCAAGAGAATTCTCTGTGCTCTTCCCAATATTATTTGAGTCACTAGTTAGTGGGAACAAACACTATTCTTGGTCTGTGTATGCTCTTTACACGGTTACTCATAATCTTTTAAGTGGTTCTTTTCCCAGTGTTGGGTGGTTTC